TTCTGTTTTGGACTGCCCCAGCATCTATTTTTTAAGTTTAGTCATCTCTTTCTCCTTTCAATTTCAGTACTTAAACTTATCAATCAATCATTTCATTTATATGATAGGCCTGTACTTAAGATGAACATTTACCACAAATTAAAAATATCTTATATTATTAGATATGTTATTATAAAATATGTTTTAGTTAAGGAGTTATTGATACTTCAAGTGCAAAATAATAACATAAAACCTTGATAAAAATACACTTTTAAGTACTAATCACAAATTCTTTATAAATTATGGCATATGTGCTCAATACATAATGTTAGATACACCACAATAAAATTGTGTTATAAAAAAATATAATTGCACTTTATTACATATGCCTAGGAGTGTATTAAGTTGTTTATTTGTACCAATATTATTTAGTACTTAAAAGTGCATTTTTATCAAGGTTTTACATCATTATACTGCACTTAAAGTATCATTAAATTCTCTAACTTAAGCATATTTTATAATAACAAGTCTGATAATATAGGATAGCTTTAATTTATGGTAAATGCTCATTTTAAATGCAAGTATATCTCACAATTCAAATGATTGATTGATGTGATTAACTATTAAAAGTGAAAAGATAAAGAGAGGGCTAGACTTATAAAAGATATGTTGGTTCAGTCCAAACTAGAATACTATTCAGTTATTGGGTCATATCTGAAGCTGTAGAACTTGAATTTGGGTCTGTTTTATATGGATAGAAAGCTAAGATATAAGCCTAAAACTTTCATAGAAGTCCAAGATTCAAAAAGGTCATTTTCAAGTTCAAATTGTAGCAACAGAAAAGTCAAAATTTATCCTGCAGTCCATATATTGTTTAGTGTTCAACCCATATCTTAAGTTCTAGAAGTCTAAATGAATTTTTTTCGTTGGAAAGCTAAGATAATTTTCTAAAACTTTCATGAATAGTATATGTTTAAATTCTAATGTTAGCAATGACAATTTCTCTAGACAAAAAAATAAAAATTGTTACCAAAGTCAAGATGTGACCACCCACTCAATAATTAGTCATCAAATCAATAGTTCTAAACTTTGGCCTATAAAAGGAGATATTTCATGCATTTTGGTATTTTGGTTTGCAGATCAAAATCATGTTCTTGCTCTCTATCTTTATATTTTTGTAATGCTTAACTTTTGCTTTCATTAATCTCTTGTTTATACCTTTCATTTCCTTTTCTTTAATTAGTTAACTTATATCTTATTTATGTTCTTATCTTATTTATGTATGTTTCTCTCTTTCAATATATTCTGTTAAGTTTAATAAGTCAAGGTGAAAAGGTTACACTAATGAAGTAAGAATAAGTATATTATAAACTCAATATGGACTTTAATGTTTGATACTAACATGTTTTGTAGTTGTTATCTTGTTCACTCTCAATACTTTGCTTGTTAACTGGTTAATCTAGATTTATGTTGTATAACCATTAGCACAACAAATATTTAATACTTTCATAGCCCAACCGTATGGTATAACCGATACCTATGTTATGAAAAGAACTTGATTTGTTATTAACATAAGTTATAACTATGAATAGTTAACAACATTCATAAGTATTAGCATTGTTAAAATAAAATAACTAATATAATCATATTAACAATTTATAATCCGATTGGAACCTCTTTTTATGTGTGGTTTCCAAATGAATAATAGAAAGAGTTTATAATATATTTATTTGAAATATCATTAATGGATCCTCTAAACTTGAGAATTATTTTATCATTGTTTAATCCTTACATTAATCTTTCATCTCAAAGTCTTTATCATCATCATTATTTATAATTTATACAGTTAAACGCCTTGTAATTCGACCTCGGTCTTGCCGGGTTATTTATTACTTTGACATTCTTACACTTGAAAAAAGATATCAATCTTTTGGTCTTGTCAAATATCATTATTGATGTATATATTAAAAATTGCTAGGAAGCAATTCCAAAACACCTAATGAATTGTGGACTGATGAGAAACCTAGTTTAAGACACTTATATGTTTAGGGGTTGCCTAGCAAAAATAAAAATTTATAATCTATATGAAAAGAAAGTGAATTTAATTAGAACAACACTAGTGGATTCGTCTTTGTTTATCCAAAAAGAATTTATTTTCCTAAACATAGCATAAAAATTATTGAAATTAAAAAAGTTAGGCTCATTAAAACTAATGAAGTTAATGAGAGTGAAATACTATGCAGTGTAAAAATTCAAAAAAATAGGATACAAGTTCCTTTGCTCCTTGTATTCTAAAGTTGTTATTCCTTGTATTATTTAATAGTTTAACATTTATTGAATAGTTTAACTACATGCAACATATTTTTAGATAAATCAAGGTGAAGTAAAATATACTTAGTTTGTGTAGAAAAATAAATACTTTTTACCCATGTAAAGGAGAGCTAGTACAACTAAGTTGACATGTAATCAAGGCCAAACCAAAAAGACATTGAAGGATTGTTAGGTCATTACCAAACATATATTGCTAGGCCATCAAGGAATCCATTTGTCTCATGTCTAGCACATCAAGCCGGTGTTTATTTTTATGATGGCACCACAATTTAAAAAAATTTAAATATTTTTATTTTTAAATTAATTTTTTTAAATCGTTTTGATGTCGTGATATCAAAAATAATTTTTACAAAATAATACATACACACACACACATACTATTTTGATATATTTTTTAATAAAAATAGTTCGAAAATAATTATTATCATAATATTAAAAAAAACATATTTTTAAAGAATAAAGATATCACCAGTTATCACATGAAAAATTTAAAGTATTCTTATTGCATTCAGTAAATCTATTCACATTGTTGCTTTAATGCGTGTACTAAGAAACATCAATAACAGGCCCATTAAGCTGACCTTTTGGTTTTGGCTAGAAAGCTTATCTCAAAGGGATTTTAATAAATCTAGTTATAACTTTATAAGATGTATTCGAGGAAACAACAAATCTCTCACATACAAATTATCAACGAGAAAAATATTCATCATACAGTAAAAAGAGCTTGATAGATGTGGAAACCACTATAAGAGTTTGGATCCATTAAACAATAAAAATTTATAACATTTTTTACCTATCAAGCACATTTCACATTAACCTCCATGTACATGATGGGAGTTTCCATATAGTCTAGCCATCAATGGCACTTGAGCTACACAAGGTCAAGGTTGTCAATTTTATTCTATTTCATTTCATCCGAAATGATTGAAACATTTTATACCAATTTAAAAAATAGAATAAAACAGAATAATTTTCATTTAAAATCTCGATTCATTCTGAATTTTCAGTTAAATTTTAATCAGAATGTTTCGGTTTTATTCCACATGTTTCGTTCCTGACTTAAAAAGTCATTAAATCACCTGATTCAATTTAATTAATTCAACCATCCAAGTATAAAAAGTTTTTTTTTCATTACTATTTTCAATAACAATGATATTAATAATAATATTAAAAATTATTCATTATTTTCATTAATAATGATATTAATTTTCTAAAATTAGATTTATCACTAATATATATAGTTTATATTCATGTTATTTTTTTCATATTTATACTTTGTAAAGATATGAGCAAAACAAAAATTACTTTAGATCTTCTTAGCATTGATAACATTGATCTAGCTTTATATTTAAAATATTTATATTAAAATATTTTACTTTTATAATATTTTGATATTTTGTTTAAGTTCAATTACTTTAAGTTAAAAATTTATTTAATCTTGATTATTTAGAAATACTTTAAAATTTAAAATTATATTTTATTTATATTATGTTTTTATTGTATAATTTATAATTATTTATTGCATAATTTATTGCATAATTTATTTTAAATTTAAATTATGTTATATATATGTGTGTGTATGTGTGTGAATAGTATAACTCTAAAATGAGACGCCAAACACTTTCAAACTTAAACATTTCATTTCAATTAAAAATAAAACACTATCCACAACAAAAATGACAACGTTGAACAAGGTTGAAACCTGGCTTAAGTGCTCTGGCCCAAACAAAACACACCAAAGAAAAAGATTATGTCAAACAGGATAATTTTTGTGCCAGCACAATCGCATTCGATGCCGCTCTACGCAACCAGCTGGAACCAAATACTCAAATCTAATTTGCTGGCTGGTAAAGAAAACGCTACCATCATATGTAGATCCAATGTATCCTGCCTAAAAGATCTGAAATAACACAAACCAGGGCTAGAAATAACAGCGCTGTAATTTCATAAGACATCAAGAAAGCATAGAGCATAAATACCATGCTCCTTGCCTTTAGTTATTCTCAGGAAGCATTTATTTTTGTCTTTGTATGCGTGTGGAGAGAGGGAGGGGGAGAGGGAGAAAATAATACCTCTTCTCTTACAGAGGTCAGGACCTGGCATGATATCTGCTTCAAAGATATCATGAATTCCATCAACGGCTCAAAATAGTCTGAGATAGCTCGGAGTTTGTCTGCCTACTTTGGATGGACTGCTGAAGCAGCCATGTCCAGAGCTGTAACTTCATAACCAGCTGATTTAAGCAAAGTTGCCACCTTATACCACCACGAGGCCCCACGGACTAGCACAGGTGCCTCTGCCTCTCCATCTCCTACCACTCTACTTTCCTATCCCTTGTGTTTGGTCTTTTGTCCTGCTGGCTATGTTATAATATGGTTGGAGTCGTCCGAGTTCGCCAACGAGCTTAGTCTATCTTCTTTTAGGAAGAACTGTTATTAGTAAAACAGAAGGTCCACAACTGTTGCCACATTTGAAAAATTCAAGAATGGCCTTTTAAAAGGACCTGCAGTTGTCATTTCACAGTCCCTTGATACCTCCAATTGTCATTTTATAGTCCCTTGATAGCATCTCCATTTAACAGCAAGCACTGATCCTCCTCACATAAAACAGCATCCAGCCACGGAGAGAGAGAGAGAGGGGAGGGGAGAGGGAGGGAGGGAGATTTCTGTGGTCCATACTGCAGAGACCAAACATCAGTTTGTGCAATCAAATTTTCTTTATGCATTATGCATGTATTCGGCATCATTGCCGAAAAGATGAATGCTGTATATTCAAGTGTTAAAATCAGGTGGATGCAATGTTCATAAGGATGATCGTGGAGCAGAAGCAGAACAAGCCCAATTTCAGATGTGCTCCCAAACCAAAAAAGAAAAACAAATTCCTTGCCTCCTATACTGCTACAAAAACAAAAATTGAAATTAGCACCTCGTATAATAGGATGTGGAGTACAAACTACTGTAACTGCATGATTGCATGAGGAGACTAGCTTACTCTTTACAACCCGGCCTTCAACCAATTTATCAAGAAAACAAAATATTTGAACAGTTGCCCTTAAAACATTGAATGGATGTCTTCCCAATTGCCATGATGAATACTCCAATCTATGCAGTTGATACCTCCAAGGAACGGCTAAGTGCCAACCCTTCTTGCCGAAAGGATCTCAAATTCACTATTTATTCAGGAACAGAGACAGTGGCATTGCCACTAAAGTTCCTAATAGCTCTTCCATTCTAGGAAGACGATAATTCTTTCAACTATGGCATAGCTCCTGAAATTGTGATAAACTGCAAGTACAGAGCAACTAATATAATGTCAATTTATCTATGTATATTTTTACTAAGTAAGGAGGAGCTTATGAACACTCACTCAGGGTTAATTCATGTCAAGAAGTCTTAAACTCATATGCACAGATGTCACATGTAGACTCTTACAAATTTTTACATTACTTCATAAATCACCAAATTCCATAACTAGCATATATGATGAATCTGTCTGCATCAAGAAGTCAATCATTAAGGTATATAGTTGGAAATACAGTGGTTTTCTCAGCAAGTCTTTGGGTCTCCTTGAGGACATCATATAAAATTTGAATCAAATATACTATTGCAAATGTTGTTTAATACTTGGTTTTTGTCAACAGTTGATCACTTAAAAGGGCATGACTTGAGCAAATGAAAAGACATACAGCACATAATTACTTTTCCAGGTTATTGGAAGAATGTTGAAAAGAAAACAATAAACTATGTCAAAGGCTCAGTTCAATAAACAAACTACGTTAAGGTCAACCCTGCTGTTATGAAAATATAAATGATGTGACAGATAATGGTTAAGGGAAAAACACACCGTTTCAGGAGCACTAGTGGATTATATGGAAACAAATTCTTTCTATGAAGACTTTCCACAGAAGCTTTGAAGGAAATCAAACAATCTTTGGCTTCCTTGAATGGCTGTCTTTTGTTTTGGTGGTTTTCACAGGTATATTCAAACTCTTTCTCATCTTCTTCCTCAAGTGATTGAGAAATGCATTGCACAGGTATCGATGACAAGTCTCCCTGAAAATCAGAGACATCCAACAGAAGTCTTCTCTTCTTGCAACATGATTGATTTACAACTTTCCAATCCATTGAAAATGTGGCAAAGACGTTCCATGAATTGTGTACCATACGCAAACACCTACAATGAGAAAAAAAAATACAAAGAATGATTTGTAAGAAGCACACTAAATTGAGCGTTGCGTTCTGTGAGTAAGAGGAGCAAATTAATAAGACCCAACTACTGAATTGTATCAAGTTATTTCTGAGAAATGTATAATTTACAAGTTAGAAGCAAGGATTAGCATGTTCCAAAAGTGACTAGAAGACATACCTTAAAAGATATTCAGCACAACTGATTCCAACATCTTTAGAAATAAGGTAATCAAGTAGCACTTGGTGGTCATAATGCAACTGTAAGGGAACAAGAAGCATACGTTTCAAAATATAAATGGAAAAAAAAAATCGCATTTCATAGAAATGTCTCTTAATATCTCTTCTTTTTTCTTTTTTGTTTGGGTTGGGGGGGGGGGGGGGGGGGGTTATTCTACTCCAATGGGGGGGGGGGGGGGGTTGAATTCAACACTTACCTCAGCAAGGAATAGATGGAATAGGTGCACAGGATTAAAGAGGTTTGAGACATGATGAGTAGCATCTTTCAGATATTGAGATGTCTGCTTTTCTCCATTTAACCTGAATATAATAGAATAATCCATTATGTTCCCTAATCAATTCTATTTTAATATTGACAGCAAAGAAACGGACACATTCAATTTTCACCATTGCTCAGTACAGAAAGGCACATTCAGCAGTTGCAAAAGGACCATAAATAATACATCATCCTGCATTTCATGGTAGACAAAGCAATTAGAAGCCCCAATGGAGTACCCATGAAAGGGAAAAAATATAGGAAAAAAAATCTAAGATCAAGCTAATTGTGTCAAGCATGCAAACTGAGAAACTTCCAAAATTTAAAAAGAACAGTTCCTGATGGGTTAAATGGCAAACCTCCTGCATATATAACTGGAGGAAAGATAAGGAAAAGCCCATGCACTTTTCCAGATACCTTTCATGATCAACTAATATATCATCTGGAAGATGCCCTTGCAGCCAATTATAAAGCTCCAGTAAACCTTTATTTCTGCTACAATAATCAAGATCTGAGACTGAGGCAACAGTCAAGCAAGACTTGAGAATTGTCTTTGAAGTCACACATTGCTTGCTTGTCTCTCCTGTGGAACTCATCAGACTGAAGCAACATCTTAGAAAAAGGAGCAGAGTCTGCCTCTGCAAATGAAAGGAATGCATGCCATCAAGTTCTCCATTAGAAAGGCCTACCAAAAAAGGAGAGCCTTCTAGACATTCATCCTGACCAGCCTCGAGTTTGCTTATGGGTTTCTGCAAAAGCTCTTCGAAGTACTCATGAAGAAGTTGCAACCATAAAATTAGAGTAGAGCAACCTAGACAGGTTACGTAACTAATTCTCAGCATTAGCATCTGCAGAACACATCTATGTTATTGCAAGAATAATGAAGTTCAACAAAAATGATATATACAGCTAAGTGATAACTATTCCCTATCAGTGGAATAGTATCATGCACTTCAGCAAATACCTACACAATAAGCATTTCTAAGACAATTAAAAATTTAAAATGCAATGCAAAGGCAACATCTAGCAGATAGACATGGGAAAAGCCTCCTGCTTGGATAGCGAAAACAAGCCTGCCTTAATTCATCTCAATATGACTTCCTATGAAATTTTTATGAAAAATATTCTCCACTCTATACATTCAAAAAATAAAGAGATAATTTCTCAAAAAGGAAAAAAAAAAAAATAAAGGAAAGAAATAAGATAAATCAATACCAATAATTTGTGTCTGAAGTATTGAGAGACTGACAGCTTCACACTCTTCCCTTTCTTGCAAAGGCACCAGCATGCAAGTTTAGGAACAAGACTGATGACCATGGAGAGAACTGGATACTGAACTTGGGAACCAAACTCAGTTTCCACAGCACTACTTTGCTCAACCAAAGAGCAAAGGAACTGAATAAAATTCCCTAGAAACAGAACTTTTGGCTCTTTTGCACCAATACTTCTGAAAACTGAAGCATCCTTAGAACAGCAATTCTGAGGATCAGCATCCCAATCGTCACGACTCTGATCAACATGAATCTCATCCATGGACTCCCAAGGCACATTTGAAAGAAAGGAACTAACAGAACCCAAATACACTTCAAGGAGTTGATCATCACACTCTTGCTTCAAATGTTTCAATAAAATTCTCAAAACTCGAACAATCCCTGCTGCTGTAGACCAGTCACCACCTTTCAAACTAGATTTTAAGACTTCATAACTTGAAGAATCACAAGTTGAATCACCAACTCCAGTTCTTGATGGTTCCCAAGAACACAAGAACACATTGGCAATCGCCAATTCAAGACAAGTGCTTAATGAATGAATAAAAGAATCCCACCCACTTCCCTGCAAAACATTCATAATACTAACAACAGTAAAACACACAACACGCACTGGTGCAGCATAAACCATGACATGCAAAGAAGATTAACTTACAGACAAAGCCACAAACTCAGAAAAGGCTACAAGAACGTTGCCCACCGAATGCTGTACATATTGACTCTCAACTTTAAGAAGAAGCATCTGTCAAGAAACAACCCACACAAGTGAATTTCACAAAACCAAAGTATCAGGCTCGATATAATAAGTAAGAACAGAACAACAAAAAATGTGTAGCTAACTTTCGAATACATATCACACGTGAAAAAACATGCTTAGATTTATCGTAAACCACTCCCAAAATCATGTTATTGTCTCATTAGGATTCCCACTCTCCAAAATCTCATCCACCTTTAGATAGAAAGGAATTTGACCCCTTCTCCCTTCTCTTACCCTTGTACTGTCACTGACAAATGCAAATAAAGCAGCATAAATTTATCTAGATAAAAAATAATATTTTGAACAATTAGCCAAAAAAAGGCACTAAATTTTTTCAAAAAAAGAAAACAGAGTATGAGATATGAGATTACCAAGTCAGTTATTATCTTAATCAAACAGCTGTGCTCCTCATGATGCAGCACCGACTCACCATAACATATCTTCTTACTTTCAGTCTCCTGTAGAATAAATAAATTACAGCTTGAAACATTTTGTTTTGAAGTTTATCGATCAAAATTAATAGGAAGAGAATAGAGTAATTTACTTTATCAAGTTCTCGAATGCAAGTCTGAATTACCTTCAAAATCTGATACAAGAAAAACTCAACGTAAATGTAAAGAAATAGTGAATGAGAGAGGATTCAATGAGTGAAACAACGGTAACCTGAGAGAGAGAAATCAGAAGATCCCTCTCCTTCGTTTTTGCTGTTTCCGGTTCCGGCAGGTTGTCGACTAGCCGGCAGAGCAGAGAGAGTTTGGAATCAGGAGACATTTTTTAGGGTAATTTGTTTTGGCTTTCAGCTTCAAAATATTGGTGACTTTGTGGCGCTGTGATGGTGACTGTCTGACTGTAACTGGGTGATCGTCCTTGACGAATGAAAACGCTGTGTTTTAAATATGTGTTTAAATTGTACTCCACTTTTTTTCTCTGGGGGTAAACTTTAATCGCGTGTTTAGCGTTGCGTGTTTCGTTATTTATTAAAAAAAAATATTTCTTTTAATTTTTGAATTAGTTTTATAAATAAAGACATAGTTTTGAACTATTTGGTTTAATAATTGGGTCACGGATTAGATTAGATAAGTTGACTCAAGTCAATTTAAAAAAATCAATAAAATATTTATAGAAAATACGTAACTAATTACAATATAATAATTATATAAACTAAATTTAAATTTGAAACCAACAATATAAATTTAATTCAATATCTAAAACACAAACTAAATATAAATTCAAAAATATTTAACACAAGACATTTAAAAACATAAATTCTAAATCAACGACACATTTATTTTTTGTTAAATGAACACATTAAATTCTTTCATGTCCATATAAGCAAAATTTAAATTAAATGTCGATGGAATTGAGTCAATTTCGTTAATACCTAATAAAACATCAACATGTTCCTCTGAAACTTCATCATCATAGGGAGGTTAATTATACAAATTATAAACAACAATTATAAACAACAATAATAACAATAATAACAACAACAACTATAATTGTAATAACAATAATGGTAATAATAATAGTAGTAGTAGTAGTTAGTAGTAGTAGTAGTAGTAATAATAATAATAATAATAATAATAATAATAATAAAGAAAGAGAAGAAGATGAAGATGATGAGAACTTGGAGATGGAAAATTAATGTAAGGATTAAACAATAATAATAACAAATGTCAAGGTTAGAAGTTCCACTAATGGTATATCAAACAAATATAGTATAAACTCTTATTATTGAATTAGAAACCACACACAAAGGAGGTTCCAATCAGATTATATATTGTTAACATGATTACATTAGTCATCTTATTCAATTAATGCTAATACTTGTAAATCTCGTCAAGCATTCATGATTATAACTTATGTTAACAACAAATCAAGTTCCTTTCATAGCTCAGGTGTCGGTTATACCATACATTATGGGCTATGAAAGTGCCAAGCATTTGTTGTACCAAGTGTTATACAACATAAATCAAGATTAATCATTTAACAAGCAAAGTATTAAAGAGTGAACAAGATAACAAATATAAAACATGTTAGTATCAAACATTAAAGTCCATATTAAGTTTACATTATACTTATTCTTACACCATTAGTGTAACCTTTTCACCTTGACATAACTAACTTAGCTAGACATAATGAAAGAAAGCAAAATAGATAAACAAAATAAGAACATAAAAGTTAACTAAGTAAAGGAAAGGAAATGAAAGGCATAAACTTAATATTAATGAAAACAAAGCATAAAAAATACAAAGAGAGAAAGGAAGAGAATGATCTTGATCTGGAAACCAAGATGCCTAAATGCATGGCAAATGCCTCCTTTTATAGGCCAAAATTGAGAACTATTGATTTGATGACTAATTGATAAGTGGGTGGCCAACTTTTGACTTGGTGACAATCCTTATCTTCTCTTGTCTGCCCAAAACGTCATTGATAACGTCAAAACTGGAGCCAGGTGCAAACATGAAAGTTGTAGGCAATTGTCTCAGCTTTCTTGTGTAAAAAATTCAGCTCATTTGGACTTCTAGAACTCCAGATATGGCCAAAATACCGAACAGTGCTCGGGCTGGAAGACAGATTCGGGCTTCTTTGTTGTTTCTACAATTTGGACTTGATAATGGCCTTTTTAGATCTTGGGCTCCATATGAAAGTTGTAGGCCTATGTCTTACCTTTCCATCCATATAAATTGGACCTAAATCTGAGATATATAGCTCTAGATATGACCCAATTACCGAACAGTGTTCCGGTTTGGATTGCACCGACATCTCTTCTCTAAGTTTGACCATCTCTTTATCCATGCAATTTAAGTTCTTCAAGTCATCAATCAATCCTTTCATTTATGTGATAGACCTGCATTAAAAATAGACATTTACCACAAATTAAAGGTATCTTATATTATTAGATACATTATTATAAAACATATTTTAGTTAAGGAGTTATTGATACTTCAAGTGCAAAATGATGATATAAAACCATGATAAAAATGCACTTTTAAGTACTAATCACACCCCCCAACCAGCTTATTACTAGTCCCTAGTAATCAAAGCGTAAAATAGAAAAACAATTTGTATATTCCACAAAGCAAGGTATTCATCATTTAACTTCCATTAGTCTATCCAGATAAACAAACTCTCATTAAATTTATATATCTGCTCAATACCACTTAACAAGATATTAATAAACCTTTCTTTTGTGCTCAATGTATCAACACATAATTATGGGGCTTTTCTTGGAAGAAAACAAAATTTTTGTTCTAATGTTTAAGGTTAACTTCCTTGGGTTGGGATTACTATTTTTGTCTTTTTTTTTTTTAACTCTATATACATATACTTTAAAAACATCATGCATCTTTAACCCATGTAACGAGCTTTCAGCTAATGACTCCCAGACCAGTTGGTCTTAGGGCATTAGGTGTTAAGACACCCCTACGAGCTTAGTAACTCGGGTCGCAGATACTGATATGTAGATAGTGCAATGTTTGATTCCCTTAAGCTTTTCTCCTCAACCCATGTAACAAGCGTTGGGCCAATAGCTCCCAAGTCAGTTGACTTTAGGGTATTAGGTGTTAAAACACCCCTTCGGACTTAATTGCTTAGGTTAGGGAGGCTACGAAACCAAACTTATCTACATTTTTATTATCATCATTTTTTTTTCTTCTTTTTTTTCTTTTTTTTTTCTTTCTTTTTTTTCATGTTTTTTTTTTAATTATATACAATCCCTTTCCCTTAGTTGTTACCTTTAACAAAAGAACATAAATAATGTAATAATCCAATATGCAACCCACAATCATATGTTAAAGTGTGTGTGTGTAAATTAAGGTTTAAGAATACATGTTAAATAAGTATATGAGCAGAATTAAGTGGTAACAATACGAGAGTTTGTAAACCTGAATATTTCAGGAAGTATTATAATAGACCTTGTTAAGAATGGTTACTAAGATGCGTCTCAAGAGTCACTTTAACAAAAGAACTCCTTTACTCTGCCATCCTAGTAACAACAATTATGCACATGCTTTATGAAATGAAAAACAATTTTTTTTTATCAACTACTACCCTCTCCCCCCAACCAAAACGAGACATTGTCCTCAATGTTCTAAGGTAGAAAGATAGAGTATAAAAGATATCACCTGAAATAACGAACACTGACAAAACCTGAAACACACTAAAACAAAAATAAGAAATAACAAAACACAATAATAAAACCAAAAGACACAAAAATTCACAAATGAAGGCTCAAATCCAATCTAAGCTTTTTACGGCTTCCCGTAGATGACCAATTTATGCGACTCATGGAAGGATCAATCACAGGAATGAAAGATTGTAGTTGGTCAATCAACTGTTCAGCAGTAGCAGCAGAGATTATGATTTGTCGTGCAGAAGATGTTAGAAATTCCTGTTCCACAGCATGATCAAGAAAAGACAACAACTTATCATAATAACCATTAACATTTAACAAACCTATGGGTTTATGGTGAATGTGCAATTGAGCCCAAGAGGAAATATGAAAGATCTCTTCCAATGTGCCTAGACCACCTGGTAAAGCAATGAAAGCATCAGCATGGTTAAACATTGCATTCATTCGAGCCGACATTGTGGAGACCTGAAGTTCCTCTCCAATTGTTTTTCCAATGATGTCCCCTTGTGCCAAAGCTTCAGGGACGACCCCCAAAACTTGACTACCTCCTAAAAATGCAGCTATTGACACACCTCCCATTAACCCAAGACTGCCTCCCCCATACACTAAATGAATCTTTCTCTCAGCTAGCACCTAACCAAGATGATTTGCTGATTCTAAAAACTCCTTTTCTTTCCCAGGACTAGATCCACCGAAAACACAAATATTTCTTATTTGATGACCTGAGGAACTTGCCATTTCTACACACTTCTGTATTTGTTAAATGTATGGGTTGAGTAGAAATGAAAGGAAGGAAAAGAGGGTTTTATAGATGAGAAATTAGAAAGGCAATCATAACATCTATATGTAGGCCAGCTAGAGTCTCACACACTCTCTCTCTCTTTTTATTTATTTATTTACTTTTGAAAAAAAACATGTGTATGTACAGGTAGTTGTGATTGTGGCTCACATCTTCCCTTGGTTTTACGTCCAAGAACGGCTTAAACGCCCTCTATGGGTCGGGGATAGGCTTCCCATCCAGTTTTCTTAAAAACTGGCAAACAGGGTCTTTTTTAGTCAGATTCCCAAGACTAAGTCGATCATGTTCTTTATGAAATAGTGGCCATAAATCATGAATTGCACGATGCACATCTCCACTAGGATGCGTCTCAAGAGTCAATAGAAGATTATCTAAAGACTCCTTACTCAGGCCATCCTTAATGAATTGTATTTTATCTTCACGGTTTATAGATACCATTCGGGAGGTTTGTGGAGTTCCTTATTTATACTTTTTTTTCAAGAAATTATAAACTAGTTAAAAGCCTTGTTTGTGTGTTCCACGACATCAATTTAAACACTAATGATGTACCAATAAACTATAAAGTAGTTGAAACTTACTATAGTTTATAATATGCAACTTAATTAAAATGCAGCTTATGAAGAAATAACTGAAATAAATCAAGAAAAATAAGGCACAGGCTTTATTAAATTGCAAAAAAGAAAAGAATAGAGAAACATACCTGTGGGTGTGAGAATAGAAAAGAATTGATGTCAAATCAAGAACTGTGAAAAAATTGATGTTAAATCAAGAATTGCAAATTCAAAAAAAAATGAAGAATAAAGAAAGGAGAGAGTGAAAAAACGAGAGTCATCAAGAGAAAAAAAAAAAGTCTAACCTTATTCACAGATTTGAAACATTGCTCAAGAATCTTCTACTCCTCTACTTTTCGCGATTGAAATGGTTTTTTTTCTTTAATTATGTTTTCTTTT